GATCCTCTGCTCAGACTAATTTTCTAATCTAGTTGTGGTGAAGATGTACCAGTTTTCATTTCTACAGAATAATCCTCTGGACTGTGAAACACTCGCACACAACGAGACAAAACACTGAGGTGACAAACGTGTGTAGTACTGTGACCTTTACACACTGTTCCTGTGTGTGTGTGTGTGTGTGTGTGTGTGTGTGTGTGTGTGTGTGTGTGTGTGTGTGTGTCAGACAGAGAGACAGATAGAAAGATGGCTCAGCATTTCCAGTAGTTTGAGACCACTGTGGCCTCTCTGCTCTTAAGTGGAATGTGCTGCCTGTGCTCATATGACAAAAGCACCAGTAAGAGCCGTCTCACAAAGAGTGTTGTGATCTGAGCAGGAATGCCCCGAACAACTATTTAAAACAGGAGAGAATGATCTGGAAACACATGACTTTAACTAAACTAAAGCAGATCACGTCAGGGTGCGATTTAAATCAAAAGACTGTTCAGGAAGTAGGAGAAATGCAGAAGCTTAACACGGAAATTCCATAGACTGCTTAGAAAAGATAGATGAAGCATTTTCTGCTCTGAATCAGAAGTGACAAACAAGAACTCACCGAGACATGACTTGTTAAATTCAAGGTGAATAAAGCTTCATCTCCAATCTGCTTCAAAATGGGGCCATAATTTATGAAATGATAATCACGTATCAAATAAGTCTTTAACCTCCTAGGACCTGGCGTCCACATATGTGGACATCACATTTTGGGTTATTTAGACCAAAAGTCTTAGGAGGTTAAAGCAGCAACTGAGAACTCTTTAGAAAATTAGTTACTGAAGTCACAAAAGAAGTGACTCCCAGACTTCTATACAATCCATCCTCTTCTCCTTATCCTTTTCAGGGTTGCTGGCGGGTACACCCTGGACAGGTCACCAGTGTGTGGCAGGGCTAACACATATGCACAAACAACCATTCTCACTTACATTCCTATCCTCACTAACTGCATGTCTTTAGACTGTGGGAGGAAGCCAGAGTACCCAGAAAGAACCCACACAAACAAGGGGGGAACATGCACGCCAGATGGAGGAATTGAACTCAGGACCTTCTTGCTGTGAGGCAACAGTGCTAACCACTGTTCCACCGTGCTAAATATTGTCCCTTTTTTGACCCTTCAGACCACACACCTGTCCTGACAGAGGTTTATATGAGCAGCGGATTATCAATAACGGCAGTTGTGATGCCTCCTTTCTCCTCTCTGTGCTGTGTGTAAACACACATTCAGGTGTGGACGTGTGCGTTTCTGTCCTTACCTCCCAGACAAAGGGCGCGCAGGCGGCTGTGTGCCAGCTGGATGTCGGCAGGCGAGGGCAGCTCCTCGCCCAGCTCCACCACCACACACAAAGAGGACTGGCAACCAAACAGGATCATCTCCAGGTTTCTACACAAGAGCACATCCAGCTGTTAACGAATGGCAACGAGCCTGCCGTACTTTGTGAAACATTTGTCACTGGCAGTGTAACATTTGTAAGCAAGCTGATATCGCTTTACATCATTGATGCGATTCACTTTTTCCCCAAAAAAAAAAACCCTGAATGAATCATTTCTGAGCAATAAAGTAACCAAAAATATAGCAAAACGATACAAATTAAAACTCTTTTATGCAAATTTATATGCAGATATTTTTTCAGAAAGTGTGAAAAATCTTGCAGTTACTTCATGGTTTCAGCTATCCCCTCTTTCAGCAGCAGGCCGCTGGGACAAAAGGCTTCTACATACTGGAACATACAGAGCTCACAGGTCAGAGACTGAGGACTCAAGGGGCTTTAAAAATAGTTATTAAAATCTTAAAATCTCATAAGTTCTCTTAAGCCTACGGGAGAGCAGTTAGCTCAGATATTTGTCTGACACAGTGATGGGGGCGTCCACACTGATACGTTGTACTAAAGCTGTTGAGCATTTAATAAGGTGTCCATAGCGCTTCATTCATGCATAAAAACAAATGTCTATCAGCTGAATAATCAAGGAGGCAGAAAACTGAAATAATACACGCAAAATAATTAAACTGACCAGTGATGCATGCCAATTCATTCCCCGAATCCTACATGACACCGTGTAATTTTCTGTGCCGTGGAATTCAAACCCACAACATAACATATGGATATAAATCTATGAAATGGCCCTTTGGGAAGCAAGGGTGCAAAGCAGACTATTATTTCCCCAGAAAGAAGGAACTGGTTCAAAGGTCGTTTCAGCCTGGAGGGAAAAGTTGTACTGATTTTGCCAAAAGCTTCGCAGTTAATACTGAAAAATGACAGTTGGTGTAAAATGATTCTGCAACATATTCTGACCTCACACGTTAAACTGCAGCCTCGTGCTTCTTTCACGATTTGCAATATTCACCTCAAAGTGTTCTGTTTCTCTCATTCGTTCTTTGTGTTCATCAATAGATTTTCTCGGGTGATAGAAATAAATGCACACAGGTGAGTTAAAGCAGAAGAAGGTTTTAAAATTATGAATCTGAGCATCTTCAAATGTAAATGTATCTAACAAGCCATGTGCAGACACTTTCATTAGTCTGTGAACCAAGTCTTCTTAGTCTGCATCTTCATTCTGGACTAAAGCTTAGGATCTGGAGTCCAGCAGACGACCTGTTATTACTTTACTGTAACCTGTACTTTGCTGTGTGAAAGTTACACCCTACAGCTCAGACTGAAGTGCGGGTGGTCAAATGTTGATGCACTAGAATCCATTTGCAAAGCATTGAACACACACACACCTGATGTCATCTTTCTCATGGTAGATGTTATTCTGGAAGCTGGCCATTCGCAGTAGATCACTGCCTCTGGGATGTCGCCAACACCAGCGCTGTGACACAAAACAGTTTCACCCTCTTTAATAACACGCTCTTACTGCAGCATTCATCTTATAATTAGTCTCGCTGGAATGATAATAAGCAGCGAATACAGACACATGATTGCAGCTCAGAGATCATTCTGACATAATATATTAAAGACACTTGGGAAGCAGGCACCAAGTCTGAGGAACTTCTGCTTTTTTCATTTGAGTTGCAAGAAAAGTTTTAAATGTTTCTCAAGGCAGGAAGATATCTGTGAAAATAGTGCCTCTGGGTGCTTTCTTGAGTTCTTGGACACAAATGTGGAATATTGTAACAGCATCCCCACAGCCCAGCTGCATGTGTTTGCAAAAAGTCCAGCTAAATATTTTCTGAAGCATATACTTCCAAACACTTTCTAGAAATTGGTGAATCACAAATGGCAAAGTGTTCATTTAAAACAAAACATGACTCCAGAACACTCACAGGGATGCGTCCTTCATTGAAGTGGGCGAAGCTTTTCTTCAGCTCGGTGTCTAAAACCTTCTGTGGGACCACGATGAAGCGAGGCAGGCTGACAGGAAGCAGAAAAAAAGTGCTCAGTTTTATTGACGAGATATAAATAGCAAATTTACAACAGCAGTGGAAGATGTATGAGTCATTGCATATAAAAAAAAAGTAAAAAACTTAGAGCACCATCTTTTAAGGCGTTAGTGCCGTGGAATCTTTCTCTTATCGAGGACGAGCAACATTCCTGAAATGTGCTGCTTTGCATACTAAAGAGGGGATTGGTGGGAAATGTGATATAACACTGACAGACATTCTATGTGTTTTATTACATTGCATACCTGGTTAGTGTTATGTGTGGTTACACTTGTGAATTTACCTGGTTGACATTTCAAAGCGGTCATTGACTGAGCTGACCCTCCAGCTAGTGGCTCCACAGCGTTCCAGCTCCTGCTCCCAGTCCGAGGCAGATTCAAACCAGTTCATGTGGGCGTCTCGGCGACGGTTGCTTAGAAACTGCTTCATTTCTGTAGGCGGGAAGTGATTGAAACACTCGTTTTGATGCTCGCGGCACTTTAAAGGTGCAAGATCAGGTGCAGTGTGATCATACTGTGACTGCTTTGAATCGTATTTTATACAAACACTGCACTATTCAATTTAAAGGCAGGATTTAAACCTAATCTTAATGGGAGTCCAGCAGTGAAGCTAATTATAATTTTACTGTTTAGCTTCTCTGGTATAAGTTTTTGCCTTTTTTATCGTGATTTAAAGACCGGGCAGAAACAGAATTTTAAAAAGCACTGGCTGCTCAGCAAGCAGGCACGGCTTCTTAAGAAATCTATTCTGAGCTTTTGCATCCTTTTCCAACAAAACTCTTTTAGGAGGACAGGAGAAACTATTTCTCTGGGTCAGCCGTGGGAAAAAACTTGGGATGCCTGGGACACATTTCTCTGTACGAAGCTGAATATCATAAAGCTTGGTGGAGACACGGCGCATGGGCAAAGAGAGCGACCGTTTCATGTTGGTGTCAAACAGAGCGTGGACGCTGGCAGAGGTGAAGCTCTTCTTGTATTATTCAAAACACAAAGAACTGACCACACACTGGACACACTTGACCCATAGGGCAGAGGTGAACTGTAGGTCATCTAATGACTTGTTTCAGAGGGGGGCTTGCATTATTTATCCAAGAACTGGCATTCATCCTCAGCCTGGCCAGCCTAGCGTAGCTTGAATGTAGCACACTAAGCATACTATACTGCAGAGACAGGCTCAAATGTCCCTATATGGAGGGCGGGTGTTTAGAGCAGGCCTTTATTAACGACATGTGAATTGTGGCTCGTTTGCATTTGAAGCTGAGAAGCTTAATTAAGAAAAAAAAAAGGGGAAAGAACATAAAACAAGGTTTAATCTTTCCCACAGCCACACTTTAAATCATTGTTAACATAAACTTCTGCTGAATCCGATGAAAGATTGCCTCACATATGTTTTCAGAGAGAGTATTTTTACTGTGGCATCACAGAGGGGAGTGTTTTTAATCTCGCCAGCCACAGAGGAAGTGAGTGTTATGTGTCATTATGGTCTGAACAGAAACCATTAAGGTTCTGGGTTCATTTTCGTCCCACTTTTAGGATCTGCAACATCACATTCGGATGATGGAAATCGACAGGAGCAAAAAATGTTTAAAAAAATGATAATGAGCTGAAGTCACAGGAGGGAAATGATAAAGTGTGATCACAGCTTAAGTACATTCTGTTTCGGGAGCTGGAATGGGTGAGAACCACACTTAGTCATGTGCTGTGCTTTGAATCTGTACAAGTGTGTCCTAACACATTCCTGCAGGGTTTCTGATTCACGACAGCATGTGATTCTCACTTTAACTGAGCTGTTGTTCCTATGAATATTCATTAGAGCTAAAATATGCACAGAATGATAGACAGATTGTAATAAATACTTTAGATCATTGACTCGCAGTCATTTTAATATCATTACCATCCCAGCAGGCACACATGAGGCAGCAGTGCCCCAAGAAGCATTTCTGTGGCTGCATCCATACGGACGAGAACAAAACAAAGTAAGCTCAAAAGCACGAGTGTTATTAAACGGCTCCTGGGAGAGCCAACGGTTTACAGAATGACAGACAGGCTGCAATGGTGGAGATAAGATACCGTCTCTGTGCCAGGAAAGGAGTGGCCAGCTGTATACTTTAATCTACTCACCTACACTGCCGAGGGCGGCGTTCTGGAAAGATAACACAGACCCTGGTTTGGGAGGCTGGTAGGTCTTAGCGATGCTGTAGGTCATCTGAGGAGGGAAACCACAGTGAGTGCATCAACATGACAAAGGTCGTCAGCTTTCACCACAGTGTCTGATCACTGGGCTGTGGCATAGATCAGCTTCTCTAGGGATACATGCTTAGGCTAAGGAGACACCTCTTGGACTTGTGACTCAGGAGTGAGGCGGTCAAAAAGGAAGCAGACGACTCGCATGTCCCTGCAGTAAAGCACCAGCTCCTCCGGAGTGAACTTCAGCGAGGAGTTTGGTGTCACCAGCTTGGTCCTGTTTGGGCCCACTGAAACACAAGAGCAAAGATACAAAGTTACATTTTAGATTCATAGACGACTCCAGAGCCCAGCGGAGTCCTGGAGTACAGAGTTTTAAATCAGCCTGCAAACTGAAATAAAACTTTAAATATTATTTGAGAAGCAAGGTATGTGAAAAGATGTCTCACTTTATTAAAACAGTGGTAGTGATGGTAGTCCATCAGACTGCACCAGTATGAGAGCACCAGAATCGCCAGGCAACTCAACTTTCAAAATAAGAGTGGATTATCCACTGATGATAAATCAAAAATATAAAACGTGCCCAATACTCTACATATAATCCCTGTGAGCCCTTATACAGTCATGTCAGGTACATAGCTGTGTGGCTGTGAGCACAACAGTCCTCCCCACCTTCTATTCCAGGCTAGGCTTGGTGAGGGGCAGCCAATCAGCTGACTTAAACAGAGGGGTCTCTGTTTGAAGGGAGAGGAACAAATGCTGCTTGTTTGAGACAGAGACTGAACTGAGGGGCTGCAGCAAGGCTCAGTGAATGATAAATAAGGATTATTGTGAGTTGCGATACACGCAAAGACTTTGTGTACCAGGATGAAAGCATGAACCTGGAAATGAGCATCATCAGTCCCCTTTTCAATCAAAGACAATTTTTTGCAAACTTCCTGACAGCGATACTGATACAAAGAAATATCTCAGTTAACAATCTGCACATTATCAGACTGTTCTTTGAACTTATTTTTAGTAACCTTTGCGTCATCGTGTTCACAGTAAGTGACATGATAGACAATTTATCTATCCGGTGACTGGAAGTCGTACAAAGGCAATAATTTACCAAATAAACATCAATCAACAGAATGAATGGAAATGCTTTTGGAAGCCATGAGTAAAAAGGAAGTTTTACTCACCAACAACAACTTTCTCTATAGATGCCAAAGCCACATCGTGGTCTCCTAGTAGCACTGGGTCTGCATTGTCCTGCGTCATAAATATCATTCAAAGAAATAAAGTTCCCATGATGTCAGATGCACTTTATACATTTTCAAGGGTCGTTCTTTTAAAACAGAAGATAGAAACACACTGTTAACACAAACATCTGAATGTTTTAGTGTTTATTCAGTGCAGCGTAGGGACTCACGTCAGGTTTGGGACTGTCCTGGGGCACAAAGGCCACTCTGAAGTGAGTACAGAAGAGGGTCCCAGACAGCCAGCCTCTTCCTTCCCTGGCAGTCAACTTCTTCCTCACCATAACAGCTCTCTGAAGTACACACTCGCCTAAAGAGGACATATGGCACAAGTGTTATAAGAATTCATCGACGGTACACATCAAGCAGAAGTTTCATTATTGCACATGTCTAACCATGACTGTGTCCTCTCCTGCACATAACAGGAAGTATACAAAAGATAAACAAGAAGTATGAAAGAGAGTGGGCTGCAGGGAGTGGGTGTAACAACATCCTTAAACCACAAGTTACGTCCTTGAATTGTTGCAAGTCCTTGACTGGATGGACAGAGAAGAGCAACGAATACAGCGACGCTGTACTGAACCCTGCAAAGCCTGAACCATGAAATAGCCACTTTTTTTTTTTAAACCAAAGTGTTTATTGAACATTCTGACAAATCAAAAAAAGAAAAGAAATGAAATATGAATTTGCATATATGAGTTTTAAGTTGTATCTCTTTTGGTACATCTGAGATTTTGGTTCAATTTATTGGTTAAAAAAAAAAAGTGGGAAAAAATGAGGCAGATTTTTTTTTTCAAGCACATAAACAATCATTTTAACCACAGGTATGGCCCGGCATTACCAAAGCAATTTTCTTTAAAAATCTATTTCTGCTCAAATAACACAAAACAATCGTCCAGAGGTCATCTGCAAATAACCTTTAATTCTACAAGCAAAGACCTGCAAGAGAAACCGCTTGGGAGCACAGGAAGTGATGGTGTTTGAATATCATCGACAGGTCAAGCAAATCCAAGTAAACAGTACTATTATTACCACAATATACAACTGCAAGTGTGTGCTGTGGATACCTTTATTCCCTTTAAAGAAGACAAATTACACACACTCACAATTTAACATTTTAATTGTGTGTGATAACGTAGATACCTGTGTGTGTCTGTGTGTACTCAGCTCAAACTGTTTTCCAACATGGCCGCGGTACAGTAAGTTACTGTCAAGTTGCTGTTTTGAACATGTTGCCTCCAACATTTGTTACTGTGTGCAGTACGATGAGCTGCTATATTTATCTGATGCTGTGAAATGCAATTATAGAGGCTGTTAATGTGATTTTGGGGCATTTAGGTTTTGTATGAAAATCTGAAAGAAACACGACCTGCTTCAAAAGGTAGTGCATCCAAACAGAAGCAGCAAGATTTTTTGCTAGACTGCAAATGTCTAAGATAAAGTAATGACCACAAGTTTTAGAAAAGAAAAGAAAAGACCTGCAAAGCCTACAAAACTGCCTTCACCTGACAGTACGATCAAAAGAAGACACCACAGGGCTTTTTTTTATTTTTTTATTTAAACAGATATGAATATAAGGTGAATCCTGAAATATCAGTGTGTCAAAAATGTTTAAAACTCAGATCTACAATTTGAGGGAATCTTTAGTGGCAGCTTAAATCTCTGTATGTGTAGACTAACTGTTGGCTTCCATGCACGCACGCGCACACACACACACACACACACACACACACACACACACGGAAAGTCTGGAACTTTCACTCAATTATCTGAAAATAACAGTAGAGTCAGAGCTCTGAGTCACACAATATTTCACAAACACTTGAATTCTTTCACAACAACAATGAGATTCATTTCAAAATGATTTTCCATCCATTCTCTTCTTTGCTTTGTGAAACTTTCAAGAACAAGATGATAGAGCTGAAACAAGTGTGTGCAGCGATTTTCTCAGCCCAAAAGAAAAAGCGAATACAAAGATGGGGCGGTGCATGTTTTGGCTGTTGGCTTTGGTCACATGATTGAACTTCACTGGTTGCTTGAACTAAGCCAAAGTACTTAAACATGTTTGACTTGACTTCAGAACTCTGATCGTTGTAGCCATTTTGTCCTTTACACGATCAGGACGAGAAGCGTGAACTACATCAGAAAACCTTCTGCATTTTTACTGCATCACTGGACAAGTCGTTCAGTGCAACACAGACAAGAAGTCTGCAGGAATCATCCCAGGAAAGAACGTTTTTCCAGCTTTGATAACACATAACATCCTAAACAGCGTACTTATGTGTGCTAGTAATCCTGTTAAGAATGTCTCTGGGTAAATGGAAAGAAAGAAAAGAAGCGTCTGAAATTCCAGGACAAAGTTCCAAAAACAAAACTTTTCACCCACAAAAGTCTTTCACACACAAACACAGATGTGCAGAAACACTAAGAAAACACAAAAGAAGAACAAAGGAAAACCATCACACACACACACACACACACACACACACACACACACACACACACACACACACAGCAGTGAGGCAACAGTCTACCACAGGAACACAAAGCCTCTGCCAGTTAGACTGTGGGTTTCCATAGCAACAGGGTCTGGGATTGGGTAGACGTGGAGAAAATGGCCTTTTTGTCCATGACAAAGCAAATGTTTTCATTTCATTCAAAAGACAATTAAAAAAAAAAAAAAAAAGATGGGGGAAGACCAAACTGAAAAAAGAAAAACGTGCTGAGGAAACACTGAATTCCTTCTCAGGATAATGAAAGGAACTGCAATAACACGGCCCTGATATGAAAAATGACAGCGCAGATGTTGGCTGTGTTTAATGAATGTTTTGGAGCATACCAAAGCACAAACAGGAAACGGACATTTCTTTTCCCTTGCACATAAAACCCTCATTTATGCCGCGAGAGAAAGAAAAAGAAGACAAGCCATAATTTGCTGATTGCGCAAGAGGAGCTTAAATCTTTGAGTATGCCCTGTGATTATGCTTATGCCCTTTAGCCTTTAAAAGCATCCATTAAAAACCCTCTAGGCTGGGCTTATCAATTAAACCCAACCACACATGACCCAGCTACAGAGATTTAGGATTCTTTGGGCAGTGAACACGAGTCTTTAAAAGAGACAATCTGGGGTTTTGCATGCCTCTTTTTAATATCACTCCGGGGAGCAGCAGAGCCGAAAACATTCGTGTAGCTGGCAGATTTGAGACGCCTGCAGAGAAAGGAGAAGAATTTGCATTCTCTATTGAGATTTAAAAAGTTTGTGTAAGCAGGTGATTCATCCCAGCATGAGTCAGCTAGACAAGGGAAGGTGTTTATGAGACAGTTTAATCCAGTAGTCTTTTATGCTCTTCCTGAATAGCTCCAGGTACAGTTTTACAACTGCTGTAAACAACTTGTAGCAACTTTTACGTTTTTTTAGAAGTACAAAATTCATCAATTTACATTAAAAATTACAAATCATCATTATCGGTATTGGATACTTAGGGGATTTTGTGTGGTTTGCTGAAAACTTTCATTCAGTCTGTAACAATTTATACAAGCCAAGGAAAGAGTCGATGTAAGTAACAAATGTCGTAAAAGAACAGTTAAACCTGGGTTCAGACCTTTGACTTAACCAGCTTGAAGTCTAATCACATAAAACTGAAGACATAAAAACATAATTCAACAAGCTGGCAGTGACAATTAATGAGTATCCTGTTAGTGCTATGGACAGTTGTCAAGTTGTCTGCGAGTGAGTGATGCATAACTACTGAAAGGAAAGGCAAAAAATACTTGCAAAACTAGTGCGGTGTCATGGTGGTCATGCATCCATGCATCCATGCATCCATCAATCCTCCCAGAACTGAAAGTTATGCTACAGTAGTGCCGTAAAGTAAGTACCACAGACTCAACTGTTAAAATGTCCAACTTTAGCATTAAAAAAAAATCAGGTTTACAGCAGGTTAAAAAAGAAAAACTGTTTTCACTTCTATGGATAGTTTCTCCCTAACACACAGAAAGCTGTAGCTCATTACTGTCTGTTAGGTCTCATCTCCACTAATTAGAGTCCTCGACCTCTACATTTTCTATGATAGTAGTGCCTATGAAAGCATGATATTTTTTTAAATGGAAAAGTTTGGTTAGTGTAGGTATTGATGAAATTATAGTATTGTATTAGTCTCTTAGCACGGATCTGTTGTATTCACTCAGTTTACTAAGGCCTGAGCTGGATCCTTTCAGTGCTAAGACTTAAAAATCCATCCTGGGCTCCTCCTGATGTCTCCAAGACTGAGAGCAAAAACTAGAAAACTAGGAGGGAAAACTAATTTCATATGCTTCTACCTGCAACCAGATTCCTTCGATAGCAATATCTCATTATTGTTGCTGACGGTGGAACAAAAGCTTCGCATTCTGGCTCAACTCGATCTTCAAAATGAAGGTTCAGCACAAACATGCCAGTCCAGCTCACTTTTCACCTTGGCATCCCAAATGAATGAATGAGATCCTCGGATACATAAAACTCCTCCGCCTGAGGCAGCATCTTTTGCCACTCCGCTCCACCCTTTTTTCTTTTCTATTTTTTTCTCCATCAACTGGTTTCGTAAAATTGAAATTCCCAGAAAGAAAGTCAGACAGAGATGGAAACAGACTATAAAGAGTTGAGACTCTGCCAGGTGTCAGGCCAGCTGTGCGTCATGTAACAGACAAATATCATTAAAACTGTTTGATGGCAACAGCAGCTTTACACATTCCAGGTGAATTAGTCTTTGAAAACATTACAGGAGGAAGAGCTCACCAAAACAAAATGTTGGGTTGGAGTTTGGACGCTCAAGGCCAGTACATATTCAATAACTCAGACTATTCTCAGAGCAGAAAAACATTCAGTCCAAACAGGAAACAGTTTTTGACTGTCAGGATTTCTCACATTGTTGACTGAGTACAGGATGTGTTAATTTAGCAGCATACGGGGCTTTCCTTCACGCTAACTTCAGTTTAGATGAGAGAGAACGACGTGGAGGATGAGAAAATACAGCTGAGATGCATGTGAACCATGTGTGTTTTATTTGTTTTCATGCACATTTGTTTCTCATTTTCAGCTGGGACGCATGCAGAGTGAAAGGTTTCTGTCCTCTTGAACCAACAGGGAGGATAAGCTCAGGTTTGGTTATATCTGTGGAAACAGTGGTATCCGTACTGACAAAGAGAAAATACTGGACACAGAAACAATCCTCAGCCTCCCAGTGTCAGAAAACTTCCTGTTCCATGTGATAGTGATCGTGTCTATCAAGGTGAAAAATCCTTTTATTTTTTTAACTGTTTTACTGAAACATCCATCTAAAGCAACGAACACAAAGAAAATTTAATACCTTTCTCAACATCGAGATCGAAACCCAAGTATGCAAATATCGATGCTGAGGTCTCTTGTCCATCAGTCAACAAGCTGTAAAGCTGGTTGACAGCCTTTAAATCCCACAGTAACATTAGACTGTGGAAAGAGGGGATTGTGAAGATGCTCTGAAGGGGGTCCTGGCCTCTTGGCTTTGTGTGTGAATGGACAGTATCTCCCCCCTTCCCCAGTCACAGCATTGAAGCGGTACATGATCTACCTATGGCTGCTGAGCTGTCCTGACCCGTTTAGGCCTCCTGCAGGCCGGCTCGGTTTCTGAGGTCCTGTGTCCTGGTGTCACATGAGAACACCATCGATGTCTCATGCTGCCCTTTAACTACTGACAGAACAAGACAATGTCTGCAAATATATTTTGGATTCCACAAACTGCTTTTTCAGCTCATCAATGCGTCTGGCTTGAGAGGACACATATTTAAGACCCTTTTTAATCACAGCTTGAGACGGGCTACAAAGTAACAAAAACATCACTGTGCTGGTGGCATGAGACCCAATGAGACGGTTTTAACATGAGGAGGGTTGACAAATGAGCCATTCTTCTGAAGAGTGTCTGCATGTATGCATTCAAGCAGGGAGAGAGAAAGAGCGAGTCGACGGGTGCAACGTGAGCCCCTTCACTCAGATCGGTAACACTAACTCATGATTTCTTTGTGTCTGAAAGTCAACTTGTTCTCACAAATTGCCTCAACACTTTCTCTACAGAGGATAAATTCCCCTGCCTGAAATCCAAGTCTGTAGTTTTAGGACAGAAAATTTAGATCTCAATAGAAAAAGAAAAAAAATCATGACAAGGCTCCAAATACACATCTGACTTCTGTCTATTAATATAAGGCAGGTTCTTGTGGACAGCTGTGTTCCTAATCTGGCTGGAATGAAGGTGGAGAAGGAGAAGAAAGACTTCAGAGAACAGTAAGATGCTGTTGGAGAAGGAGATGAAGTTTAAAGCCAGCAGGGGAAAAAATGTGCAGGAGAGACTTTCGACATTTCACAGTGAAATGCTAACGGCTAAGAATAGACTTTGCACTTGTGTGCGCGCGTGCGTGCGTGCACATGTGTGCCGTCAACCATTTGCAGTGTCCGGTGAGTGTTTGCTGAAAACACACTCACTGCTGGAAAACAAATTATGCTGGCTAGATAAATTAAGGAAGTGTGTGTCTTTAAAAAAAAGATAAAACAATGTGTTGTGTTTGTGTGTAAGGTCAGTGGAAGCGCACAAAGTCACCGGACACCATCAGGAACACCTGGCTAGTGCAGGGTTGGACCCCCTTTTACCTTCACAGCTACTTTAGTTCTCGTGGCACTGATTCAACAACGTTCTGGAAATATTTATCAGAGGTTTTGCTCCATGTTGGCGTGACAGCATCACACAGTTGCTGCAGATTTGCTGGCTGCACATCCGTGATGTGAATCCATCCCAAAGGGGCTGTGTTGGACTGAGATCCAGTGACTGGGGAGGCCATTTGAGCACAGTGAACTTACTGGCATGTTCGATGAACCATTTTGAGATGGTCCGAGCTTCGTGACATGGCACTTTACCTCCTAGATGCAGCTATTAGGCTGTGTTGTTTAAATTATGCTTAAATGGTAATAACGGGCCCAAAGTGTGCCATGAAAATATCCCAGACACCACCAGCAGCAGCAGCCTGAACCACTGATACCCGGATGGATCCATGCTTTCATCATCTGAATGTCGCAGCACAAATTGAGACTCATCAGATCAGTCCACGTTTTACCATCTTAGTGGTAGCCTCAGTTTCCTGTTCTTAGCTGGCAGGACTGGTCTTCTGCTACTATAGCCTGTCCGCCGTATTCAGAGATGCTCTTCTCCATACTTTTATAAGAAGTGATTGTTTGAGTTACTGTTACCTTCCTATCAGCTGAAAGCAGTCTTGATATCCACTTTGACCTCTGGCATCAATAAGTGATCAGAGAACTGCCGCTCACCGACTATTTTCTCTTCTTCTGACTATCCTCTGTAAACAAGATGGTTGTCTGGGAAAATCCCAGTAGTTCAGCAGTTTCTGAAATACTCAGACCTGCCCCTCTGGCACCAGCAACCACACCACGTTTAAAGTCTCTTAAATCACCTGTATTCCTCATTCTGATGTTCAGTTTGAACCTCAGCAGGTCCTCATTTTCCACAGTGATGCATGCACACACACAAGACTAAAAAAAGACCTATATAAAACCTTTCACTGCTATCAGACCAGCACAAATGAGTTGTCAAACCACACCTATATTCAACTGCAACCTTTACACTGACCTCATTTACACACCAGTTTCATGGTCACTTCCACCTCATCAGCTGTCCCCAAGGCCCCACTTGGTCACAGTGACACACATATACAGGAAAACAATAAAAGAGAAAATAGGGTTGGTGCAGTATTTAATATGTTTTTATACTCAGGATAAATATACTTTTATACTAGCAGTTACACATAGGTTAAAAAGTACTTGATAGGGGTTTAAGTTTATTAGACCTGTGGTTCAGGTCAATGCGCTCTGTAGGGCAATTGCTGCTGTTAGCTTTAGCAGCTTTGTTATCGCGCCTTTGAAAAATAAAAGGAGCCAAATGACAAAAACCGAGAAGAATTGGACAAAACATTCCACACACACTGAACCTGAAAAGGGTCAAATAGGATTCCTGACCTCATAAACTCCCAAACAGCTCACACATGCAAACACATTTCTACTCAGTCTGCTCTGGGATGCTGAGCTGGGAGAAGCTGCTGATACGCAGCGTTAAAGATTAGCCTGCGTCAGATCAAGGAACTGTGGTCTGCTGCCATTCTTGTGAAAACCTCCAGTGCTGACACAAGAATATGAGCAGGCCTTGGCTCAGGGAATAACCCACACTGTATACCGGCAGTTCTGCACTGGTCAGCAGATTATCCCTCGGGAAGAGGCTTGACCCCTGGTAAACCTAGAAGGCTAAATTCTCTCCACAGCAGGAGTTTTACCAGCCGAAGAGGGCACAAGAAAGTGATTTCAGGTTGACACATGTAAGGTTATATCTCCAAAAAACATCTGATATATATAAAAAAAGAAGAAGAAGTGTAATATGCAACACTTGTTTTGTGAAAGGATTAAATTCCTGTGTAAGTGCACCATAGATCTGCTGAAACCCATATGACACAAAACTCTCTACACTGCTCAGCATGAGCTGAAACTCACAGGCACCATCACTGCTCCCAAATCACTGACATCACAGCAGCTTTAAGGACGAGGGGCTTTATCTTCATCAGGAACTGATTTACATGTGCGAAACTAAAGCACTTCCTGCTTCCGTCTGACCACATTTCAAGCCACCTGACTTTCTGATTTCATCTAATGTATTGTATTATTCTTCATAGAGGTTTACAGATTTCTCTCATGTGTGTTTCAAGCTTTTCCACTGCAGATGTTTTCCTACATCAAAGGCAAAGCACCTGCTGTGGCATTCCTCCATCCGGCGGGGCTACAAGTGTAATATGGAAATTTTAACCCGAAGAGAACAATGAAAGCAGCAGCAGCAGCTTTATGTGAAGATATTTTTACTGACCTTGAAGCTACGGGGAAAATCATTGTGGAGTTTGTGCTGACTAAATTGACAGAGATTTTAATCAGTCCAAAGCAAGACAAGAGCAAATGACGTTGTAATACGAGTATTCAGCAGATTTGAGGTGAAAAACATAAATGAATAAACAGAGGAGAACACGGGGAGGGAAACATGTGGTTCGGATTTAGGCTTAATGTTGCAGCTGTTTCTTTCTTTTTTTTCCAAATCATAGAAACAAAACAAGTCCAGGAAAGAGCCTGTATGTAAAAGATGGAAGGCATCACAGTGACGTTTGCATTATGTAGCATCAAACTGACACATGTGACTCTAAAAATTAGCAAAACTTCAAAAGTGAACTTTATATTTTATCCAAAATAATCTGAAACTAGTGACTGGACCCAAAATTTAAACACAGGGGTCCCCCCCCCCGTGTTTTATCCAACTTCCAAACACATTTGCAAAGGAAAACAGAGCATCTGCTTTATAAAACAAAACAGGGAAAATTAATGCAATGTTTGTTTTTGTAAAAAAGCAAAAATCCTAATTGGAAGTCAAATCAGATTACTTTGCCATCCACAGTAGTGACTATTTCAATGATGTCTTTAGACATAACTACAAAATCAGTTTGTAAAAGCATAATCTTACCTGGTAGGCATCGGAGCCCAAACAGATCTCGACTCCTCGCGTTTACCCCGGTCTGACTCAGCATCCTCTCCTGAAGGCAAAGACAGCAGACATAAACATCATTTAATAGCCAAACAAGCTCTGTACAAACGTAAAAATATACCTGCACGTACGAGGCTCATTTTATATTTAACCCCTTCATTAGTTGAAATGAACCTTTGTCCCATATTTGCTCAGATAACCAACCAGCTCCTCAGCCCACAGAGTTCATCAAATCAGATAAGCAAATAACCCTCCTCACCAACACTTTACAGAGACCCTAAACACCACACTGGCAATGAAAGTTTTCTACTTTTGAAATGAATAATCTATTTCTGACCTCGACCACAAACTGTTTACACGAGAAATCCAAATGCAGACAAAACAACAGCGAGTCGACTCCTGGTGGGAGCATCGCGTCACCTCCGGCCTTGATTACATTTAAACCATGGCTCTGGCCGACGCCCTCATTAAAGTCTGACTCTCAGTCTCAGTGGACTTGTTTTCAAAGACAAAGAAACAAAGCCAACCGCACAAAGTCCCATGATTCTTAATTTCCATGTTGCTTTTCTGTTTGTTCCTGCTTTCTCTGGTCTCACGTACTTGAGCAGGACTGGGAGCAGAATCCAAGCCCACAGAGCCACTGAGGTTTCTATAATCAGGCCGTGAGCTTACTAGCACACATGCTTCCACTTAACTTTGCTACTAACCCCCCTTTGTGAAGGCCATTTACATTTATCGCCTTAAGAGCCCATAATAAGCCGAGGTCTGCAATGTGAGAGGATGGTATGATTATACAGGTGGCAAAGAAAGCTTTAAAATGGTACAGAAACAGAGGAAAGGCCCAAATTTACATTGCAGAGCCTCAGATTTCTCTCCAAACACTTCTGGCTGCGTTTGGCGCACAGTGAAACTATTAATCACCGTTTAATGCACCGGCTTTATCGTGAAAAGACTCCGAGTCAGCAAGGAGGCGCGAACAATAACAATGAATCCACTCAGTCGCCTGTGTTATGCTAACAATTTTGCAGTGTGGTGAATTCTGTTTTAGCGGCCTGCTCGTGAAAACCTGACGCTGTAAGCTTTGTGGGCCTTGATGAAAAGAAGAAACTGGGAGCGCTTGACAAAGAGGACCTTTGCTCCCTGTGAAGGTTGTAAAATCACACATCATGGCTCTGACTTTTCTGTCTTTCTGTGAGAGCGACTGGCTGTCTCTGTAGTAAAAAACCCACAAATTGTGCTGCTTGGTACCGATGCTTTTAAATCCATGCGTATGTAACATGTGTGCACGGCTCCATGTTAGCCTTTGGGGGTGTGGCTACGAACGCTTACGCGACATATTGTGTTTTTAATCGAGGCAGTAAATCTGTGAACTTACACAGATTTACTGCGTTAACAGAAACATATTGTGGAAAAACTGGTTAGAAGTATTTTTATTACAATGCTGGTGATTTGACTTTGTGGGGTTAAGCTTTGCTTACTTCACAGAAATCTTTGCCTTTCCCTGTTATTTTTGGCCAGTTCAACAACAACAACAGTTTATTATAAGGCTTCAATTAAATTAAAACCCAGTCCTGGGGCAGACCAGAGCCTCTTTTGGTGAACACTAAGATGTATTGTGTATATACCAGAGTCATCACTGCCTGATTCAAAATCGGCCTTTGGGAGGCCCATTTATCCGTTTTACCCTTTTCCTGTTATTTCTGGTCATTTAATAAAAAATATTAAATTTATACCTCAGCTAATGAAGCCTCACATGGTTTTTCGTTTTCGTGTTATCAGATTCACTACTTTTTAAGGTGAGTAAATGAAACCTGTTGCTTGTCTTATTGCCAGGCTCAAACTGAGTGCTCGGGGAGTTGCTGTGCGTGTAAGCGCAACTGTTTTCCATATAATCAAGTCAAAGAGTATTTATTATCGGTATTATTTTGATTAACATGCATGTTCCTATTATTTACAAAAAGGTAAATATTTTGATCACAGCTGTGGTGTTTTTCCTCAGGAAACCCGAAACCTTTTGACATTTCTTCAGCAGGAAGAACTCCTGCATGTGCACGTGTACTGTAGCTGTTAACTCAAAGTTTTGGTGACGTTTTGAAAACAGAACAATAAAATACTACGAGCACTTAATGATGTCAAGTTGGAAAATTTCTTGCTTTGAAATCAAAATCCAGACTCTTAAATCTCTAATAAAACAACAGGAATCAGCTAATTGCAGTTCTCCCTGCAAATATTTTCCAAAAGATCAGAAATATGATTATTTTCACCCATTTTACGAGCTAAACTAAAATGAATAAAACTGTCTGCTAGGAGACCTCGCTAGAGAAAAACAAAAGTTAGGACACTAAAGTTTTTTTACAAGCCTTCGTTTGTGCCAGAGCATTGTTCATTTTTTTTTTTCCATCTGGCTTTAAAATGTCTGCACATTCTTTCTGTCTCCCCATCAACACCCACAGAAAACCCACAGCTGGATTCCTTATTCCCCTTTAAATACATCAAAGATATTCATTTATTTCTCAAGTCTACATGTCCTCACCGCGAAAGGCGAGTAAACTCACTTTAATAACAGCAAAACACAAGGTGAAGCGCCGGCTGTGATACGAGAGGAGAGGAATGAATGATTCCCACTTTTAGAACATGTGAAATGCAGAGAATTTAACCTTCACAAGCAAGTTTTGCACAACCAAGGCAAATCAGGAAGAGATAAGGAAAACTGAGATAATGTCTACTTTAACTTAAACATACTTTGACCACAGTAAGGCCGCCCTTAAATCTCGGACTCACGTGTCACTTAAAAACCACATTTCCAGGGCCGTGTTTCTGCTGACATGTCACTTTTGCTTTCATTGTGTGGCTTTTGAATACCCTACTATATCACTTTCATTGCCCACCCCCACCCGTCTCCCTCTCTGCCCCACTTTTGCCCTCCTCAAACTCCCTCCCTCTTATCCTCGGGGACTGTGGCCAGGGCTTATTGCAGTTTCCATTGCTCATGGCTTCCCTTTGCTACTGCAGCCAGACTTCTGCAGTAAGCGTGCCTTGTTCCTGGGTCTGGAACAAACTTCTTTCCCCAAACAAGTGGCCAAAATCACGAGGGAACAAACTTATTTTTTGGTAGACATACATCTCATCATGTTCCATTTTCATTCCCTATATTTAAACTGCTTACCGCATCTTAAAAATTATTTTAATTTGCATCACTCTGAGGAGTCTCTGCTTCACCAAAAGTCTTGAATGGCGATCTAACCAGTCCAAAAACAATGATGTTGAAGTTAAATATCCTCAGTTGGTGGAGAAGGAATTTTATTTGCGGTCTTTTACCAAAACATACAGTTAAAATTTGGACTCTATTGTTAATATGAACAATCCTGGGTCTATTTTGAAAGCTACCCCCACTGTGTAATGCCTGGCTTATAGCACACGCACATTAGCTTTTAGCCACCATTCTCCCACAGCCTGTTTATTTATATTGTGCTTTTCATTTCCTTACATGAATGAGGGAAGTCACATGGCATTGTGACTCGGAAGGAAAAATCAGGACGTGATGCAGTTTTGCTAAACAGGGACCACTTTGAAGTGTTTTTCTCGGCAGACATAAAACAGAACGCTGGATTTGCTTTAGAGCTAGACCTGTGATATTTTACTGTAGATGATACCACAGAAGCAAAAGATCTGATAGAATCACACTCAAAAGGAAAAACCTGAAGGGCAACCAACCTCTGTGGAAATGCACCAAGCCTTTACTAAATGCTGACAAACAGCAGAATTTCAGCCAAAGCTCCATTTGATCTTAATAAAAGGAAACACAGAAATTAGAGAAACTGTTTATTAAATATATTAAATTATACATCAATATTTATCAATCTTTAATGAGCTGGGCATTCTAGTGGTTAATATTTAATATTTAATGTGGAAATTGATGCATCGGCCTATAGTGAACATCCAGTTTAACCCATTTCTGTAGATAACCTTGAAGCAATCATTCTAAATCTTTTATCATGACTGTCTGCTAACAAGACTTTGTTATATATATAAAAACACTGTCAGTGTAGACATAAAAACACTGATAATAACGATGTGTTTATGGTGTCCCTGCACCAGGAATGCATTTCCTACATCAAACAGCAGCCCCCACAAAGCAAGTACCATAACAAACCATATGCATACAATTGGATGCACTGTCAAAGTCCTCCCACAAGCAAATCTCACTTCACCAAGCCCAAGCCCCACTTACTGAGCTGAGCCAACCAATTTAATTTTTATTCAAATTGTGACTTTTGTTCGAAATCATTATTAAATCAGGATAAATTTGTTCCTTTTCTGCACTCATGAATATGAAGCTCTTGTCTTCTGAATCAAACCAACTCCTTCCTTCACAGCAACGCCTCCATCTTTCCATAACAGCTCAGACTCACTCACAGTTTAGTAGAGCTCAGGCTGGAAAGACGATCTTTCCACAGAACAAGTAAATTCCAAGAAACGTTTCATTGATTAACCTGTGATCAGGATCATTAAGGCAGCAGCTGCCTCTGACTGTCTCCAATATCAGCTACATTTAAACTGAGATTATGGTTTTTGATGTAACTGAGCAGCCCAAGAAAGACCAACAACTTCAATTTCAACGGTCACAGGACATTTTTTTTACCATTAATGGGACGGTGACTAAAAAATGTTTGACGCTTGACTTGTGGCTGATGTCCAGCCCTGATGTCCGGTGCACTTCAAAATGTAACGCTAATTTACACAACGGATACAGTTAGCCAAGAAAGCGATGATTACACATCTTTACTAAGATCATGTGCAGATATGCCCCGACACTGCGGTGAACTCTGGAGCTTCGATCAAAGGTTAATGTTAAATGTTTCCAGCTATCGGTTGTACTTTGGAAAGAACTGCGGGTTGGTAATTGGTTTAAACAAACCATTGTGTCTCCACTACGATTTGTAATGTGTCTTGAACTTTGACCCTCAGCTTGAATAAAAAAGAAAAAGAACACAGATGGTCTTTCACTATATCTGCCTCTACATTATTCCCGTCTGGCTGTGGTAGACTGTCAGACAATGACACACTGTCAGATCGGTACGGTGAGGCTCAAAGGTCACACAAAATGAAAACAGTGCTTTGGTTATGATGGGAGAGCAGAGCAGTCAACAGATTTGTGAGATTAAATGCCAACTTTAGACAAACACTGATAGTCCTTGACATTTTACCAGATCAATAAAATTCACCTCTTAAGTCACCATCACCCGTATGCCACTAACTTAGCAATGATCAGATACCAGGTAACTTCTGACGACTCAACCTCTGAGCGCAGCAATCATAGGATCCTTCTGTGGAGTCAGCAGATACACTTCCTGTTCCATGCTTCAGTCATAGGTTTGAATGAAGTACGAGAAAATAATCCATCCATCTATTTTCTCCCGCTTATCCACTTCAGAGTTGTTGGAGCCTATCCCAGCTACCACAGGACAGGGACAAGTTACCTATGTTAGCAACAGCTGGGCTAATGAAGAGAGACAGACAACCATTCGCACTCACATTCACACCTTTAATTAAAAATGATCAATTAATCAATCCACACTAATGGATTAATAACTGAGAAGAGGAAAAATGACTCAGACAATAGCTCTTAGTTACATGACTGAATCTCTGCAAACACATTTGTCATGGGCTCATCACACTGAAGGATTATCTGCATGCAAGCAAAACCCACCCAAATGGACTGATCAATCAATACATGGACTAAAAGCAAAGCCAGAAAGCCTCCAGTACCAAAAACATCTCTCTGTGCAGATATCGGTTTATAGAAACCAGACAAACATGAACAAACGACAGAAGCAGCCCTGTCACAAGCCCTGAATGAAATCTGACAGCAAATGTCATCAGTCGCTACACTTCCTGTCAGAGGATCCCTGACAACACTCTTCATTTAAGGGAGGGGAGGGCTGCATGGCCACTAGACAGATGACTCGGTGACTTAAAGGTTATAAGTCTGATGCGCAGCGGCCAGCGTGCCCATCAGCAGCAGCACGTCCTCCGCCTGGTCTCTGCAGCACTCTCTCGTCTCTCTCTAGCAGATTAATGTCTCAAATGGCTTAAATGAAATACCAGCGCTGGACTTGAACATTATCCAAGTGTGACAGTTCACCACCCGTGTGTGACATTATCACAGTCACTCCATACAGTCAAAGAGACAAACGACCGAGCCTCTACAAGCCAAGCCTCTCCGTTAGCGAATGGTGCCGCTAGTTAATTATCACCCAATGCCAGATCAATACCCCTCTAACCGGACCATAAATCTGCTGTGGGGTTAAGAGGAACCCATTGTTATGCTCTGTTTAAGCCGTGGGAGCATCTGCAGCACAGAGGCTAGTGATGAATGTGTTGCCGGGGCCCCGTGGGAGCGGGTGTGGGTGACTGTACTGCTTTGGCCCACTTCTATCGGGGCTGAGATCTTAAGCCACTCTGAATAGCGCTCAGATGATCCGTCCTCTGGCATTTTTGATTCTGTGGAGCTTTGTGGTGTGTGCCTTTCATGCTGACTGCTTCAAAGCTGGCTGGGAGATGCAGATAGAGTGAACTCAGGGGGAATGCACAGCCAAAGCATGCTTGAATATGCCTGTTATTCTGTCAAGATGCAGGCCTGCGCATCCTTGTAGCATTTAAGCGCTGCTGTTGTTTTCTGTTTCACTGAGCTGAAACTGAGACTTTAAACTAGAGGTGAGGGAGCTTTTTCAAATCTGTGGAATGATTAAATTCACTTTAGAAATTCACAAACTACTCCTACATTTAAGTCTTTGCTCAAGATTAATTTTTACTCTTCAACCTTTAAGTCAAATTAAACCTTAGACAGGAAGCTGCACTTAAAAACTGCACTAATAATTACAGGAGATCTTTGTTAACGCTGGTTTTACATGTGCTGGAAATATAAAGTTGACCTTGACTTTCATCTTTCAATCTTCTTGGTTCAACTTTTAAATTTAATATTTGCACTAATTAGCACAGTTTCTGAGTGCAACTTCATACCAGAGATCGCCAGCACTAGTTGATAAATTAGGACGTCACAAACTCCCTTTGGTTAACACATTTTCCTCCCAAGCAAAAGATCCCACTTAGACTGCAGTAGGAGACACAAAGCCAGCCCCGTGCACTCCCAGTGCATGTTGATAAATCAGTACCAAATTGAATATGCAAATCTATCCACGATGGCGACCCCTCAGAAATAAGGGAGCAGCTGATAATTGAAAAGATAAAAAATAATTGGGGAAAAAAAACAAAAACAATTATTTATCATCTGTCTTTTTTTGTTCATTTTTGTCACAGAGATGCTCTTTTATCCTCTAAAACCGAACCTCACTCCTCACAAGTCAAGAAAACCGACATTAATATTTAATTCAGTGCTCTGGAAGCACTTTGGTTTTAATTCATTTTTCTTAAACGTTAAATTAATTATGTTTCAAAAGTCACACTGTTGTGTTAAGTATTTATAATCTCAATTCTGATGAAAATCCATGTGTGATTACTGTTTGCTTGCCTTTTGCAACACACCAGGATTCAAGAAGATTAAACGTCCAAACGGCAAAGCCATCTGGTCCGAGATGAGCCCAGGTTGGATTCAGTTTTTTAAAACCAATCTTAACACATGCTCATGGCACTGAAACATAAGAGTGTGTGGGTGGCCTCTGCACAGCCTCTACATTACAGTAACTCAGAGTAGTAGTGAGCTGAGGGTATGAAATGAATAAAAGCATTGAAGCTGAAGTTAAGATACGTTAATTTCCTAAATCTCGGGCACATGGGGTTCAGGCGGGGGGGATGTGATG